CGTTCAAGTCCACAGAAGCTAGGCAGCCCTGAAACCCATCACGTGAGGCCACAAGCTTCGGGAGGTTGCTATACATGCCTTGAGCTAGGCCAGCAATGTAGAGATCACCTAGAGGAGAAACAGGCAAACATACAAGAAAGATGACAGTAGTACATACCTTCTAGAGTGGCTCTCCCCTGCTCCTGACATGAATATAACAAGCTGAACAGATGCTCAGGAAAAGTGAAAAGCAAAGCAAGATATTGTGCAAAAAATAATTTCTGCCTTCTTTATGACAAAAAAAAAACCCAAACAAGACACAAACCCAAACCACCTTCCCCTCAGAAAACAAAACAAACAAAAAACCCCAAACAACCACCAAAAAAAACCCACAAAAAAAATACCCCACCAAAACAACAACCCTGAAAGAAAACAGTTGTATTTGAATCCTAACCAGGAAAATCTGTAGTATGGCAATAAATTCCCGAAAAAGCAAAATATGACAAACTCTGCTACAGAAGCTGCCGGACAGAGAACAAAAAACATGAAACTGAAAGCCAGCATCAGCAAATTGCAGATATACAGTTCTGCAATGAATAGTTCGTGCAAGCTTGCTCCCTTTTACTGGGTGAGCCCCACATGAATAAATCAGTGAACTGTCAGCCTTGTAGAATTTACCTTTAAGATCCAGATTTTTTGCACCATTGATAACCTGAGTGACCACCTTAGTATCCACCTTTAGGCTATGTGTGTTACTGTTATCTCTAGTAATGACAACATTGTGCCATTGGTTGTCATGAAGAGGACGATCACTGTTGCCTTTGATAACATTAGGTCCATTTCCAAGGTCAAACACATAGTGTATATACCTGTAAAGATAGCAAGAAGTAGTTAAAATTGTCTAAGAACTCCAGTGCTACTGACCTTTATTCTCGTCAGAGTTGATAAATTAACTTAAAGAAGTCATGAAGGGAATTATCTCTGGCTTAAAAAGTTCTAGTAAACCAAAATATTATCCACTGATTTGAAAAGATATAGTTGTTGCCTTTCCACCAAGAAAGTGCAAGGTTTAGTATTTTGAGATTATGACATTTGGGGTAATCAGATTTAACCAGAAAGCATTCCTTTTTTCCACAAAGTTCTCGCAGATCCACAAAACACCCTGTCTGTGCATATAATATTTTTTTTTACTTGGTAATATCAATTAATTTACTGTAGAGCAACACTAGATATGCTTCCCTGAGGGATAAATTCCCCAGATTCATTCTGATTTTTTAATAACTCCACTCAGAATTTAGCTGGGAAATTCACTCAAGATATTGTTCTAAAATTCACATGATATCCTAGGCTTACCCAAACAGCTGGAAAACAATTAGCAAAGCTTTTGACAAAAAAGAAAAAGTCATGGGAGTGTTGCCCTGAATTGTTTATATAGTTCAAACACAGAAATCCACTTGAGGATAGAAAAAAAAAATAAAAAAAAAATTCTACTTAGAAAAAAGACAACTCTCAGAGCACCAGGAGCTTGTGACTCTTGCTTTTTTTATTGCTCAGTGTCCCACTTACAGAAATTTGTGCCAAGTTAAAAATGAAACAGATTGAACTACAGCTCTACTGAAATAAACAGGACTAGTAAACTGCATTTGTGGAAAACACGTCTACTGTGACTAGGTGAGTGTAAGAGATCAATATTCATCCGCTAATAAAGGATTTTTTTAAAATAAGTTATTGGTCTTGTAAAAAGAATACAACATCCCAAAAGCAAGCTGAGTTCACTTTTCCTCAAGCATCAGCAGCAGCAACACAAATTCAGTAGACCATGTGCCCTTTTTTCCCCTTCAGTGGAGTTAGCAGAGACACAGCAAGTCTGTTACAATAAAAAAACCAACAACCCGCAAACAAACAAAACCAGCAA